TATCCAGAATGGTAGTGAAATTTCATTAGACCTTCTCATTAACAATGTGTTTAGGATGGCTATCTCGGTCTTGGCATAAGCCTCTGCAATGCATGGGCCATTTATATGTATTGAATGAATACTACTTGGATTATACAAAAGTACTATATAATTGGTAACTTTCTCAAAACACAAACACACACACATATAACAGACACTAGTTGTTGGATTCCATTATAAAAACAAAAAACAGCAGTTAGATTTAAGGATAAACGGTCATTTAGCTATAAAGTTGTAAAAAAGGTAAAATTCCTTAAGGAATAACCTGCTTTCTACAGAATATGTAGTTTCAGTAAACAGGATTAATTAAATTAATAATAACAGATGAAAGATACAAGTAATGTTCTTGAGATAAAAAGGGAGAATTTACCATGTATTATGCGACATTGAGCAACTTTTCCGTCTTATCGGATTTTGTCTTATCTTACCCCCGCGGCCTTGCCATCAGGAAAGTCTCATTTTTTGCCCTTGACTCTACAGAGCTCCAATCTGAAGGTAATGTTAAACCATAGTCAATTCAGAGGTAAATTTGGGCACGTGGAGGCTATCAATTTCATGTTGGAGCTCTGTTAATGGCAAGAGAAAGTATGAGACAATTTGGTAATGGCAAGGGTATGAATGGACAAAAGGTCTAGTGGAGGGAAAAATTGAGCAATTTCTAGTAGTATTTATAGGATCAAGCTTGGACCTTTTCTTCTTCAAAAAAAGGAGAGGATAAACACAATGTTAAGCTCTCTGAGGAAATAAGGTAAATAGTGGGACATTTTCATTTAGAAAGTAAAAATGTATCGCGATAATCTTATATGGATTTTGAACAACTGATATATTGAATTGCAATCGTATCATCTATGGGTTTTTTTTTCAGATTTTGCCTCATTCAGCCTGTATTTTGAAAGCTAATATATTCAATTTGTAGATGGACCTGAAACTTGAGATATTTTCCCTGGGTGATGTTTCAAAAACTGTTGGAAAGCTTCTAACAGACATGTCAAGTCTTTATGATGTTGGTCGACGTAAGAGATCTGCAGGGCTATTACTCATTGACCGCACTCTTGACCTTCTTACTCCATGCTGTCATGGGGATTCACTTGTGGATCAAATGTTTTCATCATTGCCTCACAGAGAACGGATGGCATCCTTAAGTCAAGCTAAAAGCTCCCGAAGCCAGGTTAAACTAGGCCCTGCTTACTTACAGCGTTCACCCCTCACCGTACAGATACCACTCAATAATTTCCTAAGAGAGGATACTTCAAGTTCTTACAACTTTCAGCTGGTGGAAAGCGTTGAAGCATTTCTCCGTGGTTGGAATTCAAGAGACTCAACTTCTCAGATGGACGAGTTGGTGAATTTTAGCACTAAACCTAGTGGTGAAATGTCCACACAAGATTTTCAGAGTGACCTTCTTTGTGGTTCTTTCGTCTCTACGGAAAATTTTCATGGAACACCGTACCTAGAAGCCATACTAGAGCGAAGATCAAAAGATGGGGCCGTGCTGATCAAGAAATGGCTGCAAGAAAGTTTACGTCGAGAAAATGTATCATTGAATGCAAAAATCCGTCCTGGTTATGCTTCAAAATCAGATCTGCAGACTATGATTAAGGCATTAGCTAAAAGCCAGTCACTGCTGGCGAAAAACAAAGGAATTATCCAGCTAGCTGCAGCAGCACTATCTGCACTAGATGAGTCACATAGTGCTAAATGGGATGCATTTAGCAGTGCTGAGAAGATACTGAATGTAAATGCTGGGGACACGAGCCAAAGTCTTGCTGCTCAAATTAGTGATCTCATAAATAAAAGTGCGTTAGTTAGTTCACAGGGTAATAACAAAATGGATGCTCAACGGGGGCTTCTTACTCTACAAGATGCTCTGCTACTCACAGTTGTTGGATATATATTGGCAGGTGAGAATTTCCCATCTTCTGGGACTGTTGGTCCTTTCTCTTGGCAAGAGGAACATTTTATGAAAGAAGCAATTGTTGATGCGATTATTGAGAACCCAACAGTTGCGAAATTAAAGTTTCTGAAAGGTTTAACTCAGGATCTAGAAGCCAACTTTAACAGAAAATCAGAAGAGAAGAAGGAAGATCTTTCTAATACTGAAAGCATTGATTTTGATGATGACGATTGGGGTAGTTGGGGTGATGAAGATTCTGGAAAAGATAAAAGAAAAGAGCAAGTGTATGATGACATGCAATTGAAGTTAGAACTACGTGATAGGGTGGATAATCTATTCAAATTTTTTCACAAATTGTCCAGCTTTAAAAAGAATGTTTCATTCAGAGAGTGGTCACAGGCTCTTAGTAAGTTCAATGATGATCCTTACTCAAACAAAGGACTGCTTTATAAAGTGCTATCAAGGGTGTTAGATAAGCATGAAGTACCTGGCTTAGAGTATCATTCATCTACTGTTGGCCGCCTATTCAAAAGCGGGTTTGGGAGATTTGGTCTTGGGCAGGTATGATTCAATTAGATATCAATATTTTCATTGCTAGCCTAAGTTGCTGATTTGATTCTGGAATTTTTGCACAGGCAAAACCAAGTCTGGCAGATCACGATGTTATTCTCGTGTTTGTTGTGGGAGGCATAAATGGTGTAGAGGTTTGTTTTCCTTGAACTCTTAGTGAATTTTCATGTTTCTGCTTTCATATTGTTTTAACGAATTTGCAACACATGCAACAACGGTGAAGATATTAGTTTTTTTTTGAATGACAAGGGAAACTGGCAGCCGCTACCCTTTGGGTGCGCACGGGGCAAAACCCTCGCTCCTATGCAATAGCTCGCAAACCACATAGGAGTGGTAACCCGCACTAGGCAAGCCTGATGCGACGAGCTCGACCTAGAGGCAAACCCCTTGCTTTCGCTGGCAAGGGGTTTCGAACTTGAGACCTCCAACATGGAGATCCCAAGCCTAAACCATGGGCCACCCCGAAGGGTTAAGATATTAGTTAATAAAGCAAAAAGACTATAAAACACTGCTAGTAAGCTCGTTGATGGGAAACCAAGAGTGTGACCTAGTTGTCAATGAAGTGGTTTTAGAACCCTGAGGTCTTAGGTTCTAAACTCATCGGAGGCAAAAAAAACACTTAGGCGATCTTCCCATCTGTCCAAGCATTGGTGGACAGAGTTACCTGACATCGATGCTATTTGAAATAACAGTCCCTCCCTGTTCCATCACTATAAAACACTGTAATCCTTTCTCTTTCAATTGAAGTATGCTCGTTGGTGCTACGTGAAATAACAGTCCGTGCTTGTTCTATCAATAGGTTCGAGAAGCTCAGGAGGCATTATCTGAGAGCAGCAGGCCTGAAGTCGAATTAATTTTAGGTGGAACAACTTTTCTTACACCTAAAGATATGTTTGAACTACTGCTGGGCGATTATTGTTGTGTGTAAGGCTGTGTAGCTTTCTAGTTTTGTTATGTAAAGTTTAAGATGACAAGTTCTGTCTAATGTCTGATATTTAGAGAATACAAAACTTTTCCTTAATGTAAACAGCATTGGAACTTATATGATTTTCAATATATTTTTCGTATACTTCCTAATAAAAAAGAAATACAATGGTTGTCAACAAAGGAGTCAATATGTTTTATTATCTCTTTTGCATCCTATATAACTTCAAAGATGAAGAGATACATTTATCAGAGGTACAATGTTAAAAAAAAAATCTAGGTAAAACTCAATATAAAATTTCAGTAACAAAATATTAGTCATGGAAAAACGAGAGAAGAACAAATACGAGAAAAAAATGGAAAAAGATATATAAGGTCACCTTCCTTTATATGAAATACAACCTCATTGGTACGTGTCATATTATTTTGATGAAAATAATGTTTAATTAGATTGTATCGTTCTTTATTATTATATGACGTTACATATTTATAACTCGAATGATACATCTACGAAAAGAAATAGAATACGGGGTAGAGTTATAAAGAAAAGGTAGACTAAAAGATGAAATATAATGATTGACTAATAAATAAAGACATATGGTGCGAATGAAAATGTTAACATTTTCTTGGAAAACAAGTAGAATTTTGACTTGTTTTCTCATGTTTGGTTGTTATTTCTCGGAAAAGATTTTTTATTGTTTGATTTATGAATAAAAATTTGAGGTTTAAAATATTTTTTAAAAACAAACTTAAATTATTTTTTTGGGGTGGAGGGGCTGGTAAGGGGGCTAGCGGGGGAGTCAAGGGCAGGGGTGAGAAAATAAAAATTTGAAGTTATAAATATTTTTTAAAAACAAACTTATATTTTTTTGGAGGTGGGGATTCCAGATTAGGGTGAAAAAATGAAATTATGAAGTTGAAAATACTTTTTAAATTTGAGAAAAATGTGTTGATTTGAAAAATATTTTTCAAAACATTTAACCCAATCAAACATGATAAAGAAAATGTTAAGGTAATGATACAATCAAACAAAATTGATTGTTACATAAAATGAGTCTTTTCAATATTATCTAACGATATATTTAAATAATACGATATAATATAATATGAGTAACAATCAAAACAAGCATTGTATTTCAAACTGACAACACATTTCACAATGCATAGCAACCCTCCAAAAAAGGAGCAAGTTATTCATATAGTTTTGATAAGAAAACAAAGATACTACAAATCGTAAGTCACTCCTATGGACCGATTCAATCTGATCCAAAGTTATTTCTTCAAAGACTGACTTTGAAGTAATTAATTATTTTGATAGAAAAATAAAAAACCTCGGGTTATCAGATATACAATACAATCCGATTCAAAGTTATTTCTTCAAAGAGTGACTTTGAAGCAATTTATTTTAACAGAAAAATAAAAGAACCTCGGGCTATCAGATACACAATCCAACTTGATCCAAAGTTATTTCTCGAAAGAGTGACTTTTTACGCAATTCATTTTGACAGAAAAAACAAAAAACCTCAAAATTTCAGATACACGATCCATCGATTTTACTCCAAATTGAATTTCTTTACGACCATATCTTCATCCATCCATCATGACTCACTGAAGCTATAGTACCTTTAGCTCGTGAATCTGCTAAGGAAGAAATTACACCTTCATGTGCACAAAATGATGAAGTTATGTTTTTATTACACATTGGATTCCACAACTCCAAAAACTGCAAAAATAAAAATAAAAATCAACAACTATACAATAATTACTTAATTTGGAAATCTAACAATCTCAAATTTATTGTAGTGTATCAAAATTTGTATTTGGTTACTTAACAATGCAAAGTATACTAAACATACCTTATTAGTACCAATCACCAACGCTAGAATATGGCCAGGATGATAAACGCAGGATTGAAACTTATTGACACCAGAAAGCAATTCAAATACACAAATTCCTTCACGAACAGACCAAATTCGTGCGCGATCTTCGCTCACAGATGCCATGTAATATCCAGTTGTGTCCCAACACATTGAAAGAATGTTACCATCATGTCCCTATAAATCATAGAAAATGAAACCAAAGTTATACAATGAATTTGAGTTACAATAATAATGAAGAATATTTAAGTATTTTACTTGTAATGTTTTCTGAAGGGTTTGAGTCTCAATATCAAAAATATTTATGATATTTTGGGTAGAACTTGCCAAAAGGTTCCCAAGTTGAGGTTGAAATCTAACTTGTTTACTCCCTCCCTGCATTTATACCAAGAGAGAATCAATACAACTTGACACGGAATTTATGAATAGAAATGTGTTGATATTATTGGGACAGACGAAAAAGTAAAGTACATCATATAAATTGAGACAGATGATTATAGTTAATTCTTTACAAACTACTGTATTTCAAAAATCGTATAGTATAGATGTTGTTTAGTCAAATAAGAATGTTATCAAATCATTTTATTTTCTAAAACATCTTTTTGCATGTACATTTCACATAATAATCCACTATTAATGTTTTAAATCTTGGAATGAATAAGAAAGAATGGTAAGAGAATTATTTCCTACAATTAAATACAAGAATTTATGGATACAATTTCAACAATGATTTCAAATCAGTCTATTAAGAACTCTCTAAATTCAAATATAGAAACAAACAAAAGCAGCTAACTATCAAATTATGAAGTCTCTACATGTCAAAAATAATTTATTCCCCTAGTGATATTCTCCATTTTGAGCTTAGGTTCGTACAATTTTAAAACACATCACTAGTTAATAAGACCTACTTACTTATATACTCCCTAATATCAATCTCTTACATTTTACGAACAACTAAGATAAAAATAAAAAGGAAGAAAATAGAGACACCAACCTTAAGAGTGAGCAAGGAACCACCCCAATTGACATTCCACAGTCTAATCTCATTGTTGTGATCACAAGAAGTGAGAATATTCACCATTGTTGGATGATAATCAACTGACATCACATGCCCATAATGTCCTTCAAGGCTTCCATAAGTCTTTGTTGGCTGAATAATGATAATATGATTGACATATGTACAATATCATGCTTGTAATATACACAAAAAATTTTTTTACAAAAATTGAAGAATCTAATAAAACACATAGTTATAGAATCATGAAATTTGTTTTACTAGTCCGAAAGCATAATCACGTATAAAGACGAACTATACCATATAAAGTCACAATTTAAAATCGTATCTAGTTACACATTCAATCTCCTTAAAAAATTAATTCAAGAGAGATTACAAAATTTTATTATGGAAATAGAGATTTTACCTCAGCTGCATCCCATATTTTTACAGTTTTGTCAAGAGAAGACGTAGCAAAAATCGTTGAGTTTGGTCTAAAACGAATATCTGTAATATTCTGAAAATGACCTTCTCCAGTACTAAAATTGTTATTTCCCAAATCCATAATCATAACCTAAAAACATTAAAGAAAATAATTACAAATTCATTAACGAAAAAAAGTTAGAGATTAAAGAATATGTTTTCTCATTTTGATAAAACTAAATAAAACAAACCCTATTGTCATGTCCACCAATAGCCAAAAACTCCCCTTGTGTATTAAAGTGACAACATAAGAGCTCAATATTTGTAGCATGATAGTTATGAATATTTTTTAGAAAAATCCCTGTAAAGTAATATATGAAGTCAATTATATTATGGCAATAAATTTATTTCCTCAACATAAATAAACAACATATCTAGGTGAATAATGTGTGTGTATATATATACATATTAATTTTTTTTGTTACATACCTTTTGGTTTATCTTTTTGCGTCGATACAACCATTGGATTACTTTGACCTCCAATTTCTTTCCCAACCTACACAAAGAATATAAAGTGTTTGAAGATTATTATATAGAGAGACAAGAAAAAATAAGAAAGGAAAATCCATTCTCAAAAAATATGATGCATGTAATAAATCGACTCAGATATATAAGGATCAGATTGAAAATGTGTCACGTGAAAATAAATAAAATATCTAATTTTAACTCATATTCTCTAGAAATTATTTTTCTAAGTTAAGAAAAGTTTTAAAAAAAATTTCGTACTGTATAGAAGTCATATTTCTTAAATTAGAATAAAGTAGGTTTTTTTCAAAAAATACTTTTCAAAAAATATTTTTCAGAAATTTAAAATTAACAAAAAATGATGAAAAAAATATATTTCTTAGAAAATATTTTTCTTAATCTTACTAATCCAAGAGAACTCAATGGAGATTTGCTCTTTCTTCCAGTCTCCACCATAGGTTGTTTTCCTTGTCTTCTCAAACTTCTTTCAGGAGAATTCATTGTTTGTTGTTCTCCTAATACATTCCATGAATTTATTTGATTTGTATCAACAAACACCTATATCCAAAAATAGAACAAAAATAAACATATATTATAATTTGTCACTTTATATACTTAAAAAAAATGAGTATTATATTCAACTTACTGATGCATCGGTTCCACCTTCAATGTAACCAGGAACGAAATCTCTAAGAGCATGTGTGAGCTCATTACCATAGTAATAATCAATTGCTTCCATAGGTAAAGTCAATTGTTCCTCTTGAGTATGCATTGTTACATTAGGTGGCCATTGTTGTTCAAATGTTTGTTCAATAGTTCCTGTATATACAACACAAAAGAAGACCCTAATACTTAAAAAGACTCATTGTTTAGTTGGGACAAGTTATCACATGAGATTAGCTATCCTGAGACAGTGTCGGAGCCAGATATTTCTTAAAAGGTGTTTAGAAATATCAACTTGTTATGTTAAGAATGTCCAGAATATGTTATTTAATCAAACTACTTGTATATATGCTATTTTTTTTCCAAGGAAGGATGTTCAATTGGCTACAAATAACTTATCCCACCACGTATATGAGAGTCCGGAGCCTAAAGGGTATAAAATATTAACAAAAAATTCAAAACGATATATAAAATTTTATATTAACCAAAACGGCAAAATCGCTGGAACAACATCAATTTCTTCCACCGGAAAAAGCAAAATCGGTGCTACTGCAGCGATTTTACAAAATGTGATTTTCTTTGTAAAAAAATTCAAATCGCTGCCTAGGTAGTGATTTTCTAAGAAAAAAAAATTTAAAGAAAATTTATAATAAAAATAAAGAATATGAAGAAGGTAGTAAACTCACCAATGAAGCTAATGATCGGTGATGAAAAAATATGAAGATTAACATTATATGACATTGTGGAAGTATAAATAAAAGAGGTTAAAAAGTTAGAATTCTATTTCAACTCAAACATCATTTAAATTTACATTCAATATAATATCTTTTTTTAGAAAGAAAATATTTTTGTTACCTTACTTATTCTTAATTTTTTTAAAACAATGCATATTTTCTTATAAGCTATATATTTGAATTTTAAAAAAATATTTGAAAATCAATGAAACTTGTTTTTCCTACGATTTTCTTAATTTTTAAAAAAATAAAAATTGATGTAGAAAAAAATGGAAAATCATTTTTTTTTAAAAAATCTTTTAGAAAATCAGTGCCTAGGAAGAGATTTTAATTTTTTATTTAAAAATCGCTACCTAGGCAGCAATTTTCTTTAAAATTTTTTTTTTAAAAAATGAAAATCGCTGCCTAGGCAGCTATTTTCTAAAAAAAAATTAAAAAAATTGAAAACCGCTGCCTAGGTAGCTATATGTCCAGTGGAGGAAATCGCTGTTGTTCCATCGATTTTGCCGTTTCGGTTAATATAAGAGTAATATGCATGTTAATCTTCCTACAGGAAGTCAAGCATCTATTAGTCATATTGGTGAATCCTTAGTATTTACAGATAAGACTGTAAATGATGTGTTGTTTATTTCGGAATTCAAATACAATCTACTATCTGTATCTCAGTTAACCAAGCAACTGAAGTGTGCTATGATATTTTTCCTGACTTCTGTGTCTTTCAGGATCTCTCAAATGGGAAGGTCTTGGGGATTGGTAGAGAAGATCAAGGTTTATATCTGCTTCAGACTGGATTGTGTACTTCAACTGACATTGGTGATTTTCAGGCTCATATTTCTACTACTGAAGTTCCTAATGTAGACAAATCTAAGGTGACTACTGCTAGTTGTAATTCTCTGTGTGATCTTTGGCATAAGAGACTTGGTCATGCTCCTCTTAAAGTACTCAGTAGAATAAAATGTTTATCTTCTGTATCTTTGGAAGATCATCATTGTACTGTATGTCCTCTTGCAAAACAATCTAGACTTCCATTTCCTGTTAGTGTTACTACTTCTGCTTCTTCATTTGATATTGTACATGGAGATGTTTGGGGTCCTTACAGAGTTTCTAATCATGATGGCAAGAGATATTTTCTTACATTGGTGGATGATAAATCTAGATATACTTGGATTTCTTTGTTACATACTAAGTCTGATTGTCTTATAGTTCTGAAAGATTTCTTAAGTATGGTGAAAACACAATTTGGAGTCAATGTTAAGTATGTTAGGACAGATAATGGAACTGAGTTTGTTAACTCTCAAGTATCTAGTCTGTTCAAGGAATGTGGAGTTATATATCAGAGTTCTTGTGTGTATTCACCTCAACAAAATGGGGTTGTTGAGAGAAAACATAGATCTATTCTTAATATGGCCAAGGCATTAAGGTTTCAAACAAGTGTTCCTTTGAAGTAATGGGGTTGTTGTGTTTCTACAGCAGTATATATTCTGAACAAACTGCCCTCTGTAGTACTACAAAATAAGTTCCTTTTGAAGTATTGTTTTGTAAAATTCCTTCTCTTCAACATATGAGAGTCTTTGGTTCCTTATGCTATGCTACTACTCCTAAACATTTAGATAAATTTTCTCCCAGAGCTATTCCTGCAATACATTTAGGTTACTCTTCATCTAAAAAGGGGTATATATTATATGATCTGAGCTCTCACTCCTTTTTTGTTAGCAGAGATACAGTGTTTAAAGAAGGTATATTTCCTTTTAAAGATCTTCACTCTTCTCCTTCTCCTGTATTTCCTGTTCTACATTTTTTTGATGACTCTTCTAGTCTTCCTGAGTCTGTTACTACTTCAGATACTTCAAGTGATACCTCAGTCTCTACATCATCTCTAGTTGATTCTCATTCACTTTCTGAGATAGTTGTATCTACTGAAAATCAACCTTCTCTTAGAAAATCTACCAGACTCTCAAAACCTCCTAGTTGGTTGGATAACTATGTTACTCCTAGTACTAAAAGTGTTTGTCTATATCCACTTTCCAATTATGTTTCTTATTCTAGACTGTCTCCTTCTTATAGAGCTTCTCTTGCTGCTTATTCTACAATTGTTGAACCTAAGACATATAAAGAAGCATGTTTGGATCCTCATTGGGTTAAAGCCATGCTAAATGAAATTACTGCTCTAGAAGATAATTGTACTTGGACTATTGTTCCTCTTCCACATGATAAGACTTCTATTGGTTGCAAGTGGGTGTATAAAGTGAAATACCATGCATCAGGGGCTGTTGAAAGATATAAGGCCAGGCTAGTGGCCAAAGGGTATAGTCAGCAAGAAGGTCTAGATTACACTGAGACCTTCTCACCAGTAGCTAAGATGGTAACTGTGAGGTCAGTTGTGGCCTTAGTTGCTTCTAATGGTTGGTTTGTATTTCAAATGGATGTTCATAATGCCTTTCTTCAAGGGGATCTTCTGGAAGAGGTGTATATGCAGGTTCCAGATGGTTTTGCAACCCAGGGGGAGAAGTCTATGGTTTGCAAATTACATAAATCTTTGTATGGCTTGAAGCAAGCACCAATGCAGTGGAATCTAAAACTAACTCAAGCATTGAGTAATATGGGATTTACACAGTCTCATTATGATTATTCCTTGTTTACAAAGAAGGTAGGAAAGGAGTTGCTTGTAATTCTGGTATATGTTGATGATCTATTAGTAACTAGCAGTAATTTGCAGCATATACAGTAAGTCAGGAAAGATCTACAACACAGGTTCAACATGAAAGATCTTGGTGAGCTAAAATACTTTCTTGGAATTGAGTTCTCTAGAACTAATGATGGTATTCTCATGAATCAGAGAAAATATGCTTTAGGACTTGTATCTGAACTAGGACTAACAGGGTGCAGACCTGTTTCTACTCCTCTAGAATCCAACCACAAGTTAACTTCTACTGAATTTGATGAATGTACAAGCAAAGTTAGTAATACAGAAGATACATTGTTAGATGACTTTGGAAAATATCAAAGGCTTATAGGGAGGTTGTTATATTTAACTATGACCAGGCCAGATATAGCCTTTGTCGTTCAAGTGTTAAGTCAGTTTATGCATTCACCTAAAACATCTCACATGGAAGCTGCTATTCGAGTAGTGAAATATATCAAAGGAACAGCAGGAGTTGGTTTGTTTATGCCAAGTAGTAAAAGTTCAGAATTAACAGCATATTGTGACTCAGATTGGGCTGCACGTGTGGAGTCTAGAAGGTCTGTAATTGGATATGTAGTGAAGTTTGGGAATGCTGCAATATCATGGAAAGCTAAGAAGCAAAACACTGTATCCAGAAGCTCTGCAGAGGCAAAATTCAGGAGTATGGCTACTATAGTTGCAGAAATAGTTTAGCTGAAAGGCTTATTCAAGGAATTGGAAACAGAAATCAGGCTGCCTATAAGGTTGTTTTGTGACAACAAAGCTGCAATTCAGATAGCAGCTCATCCTATTTTTCATGAGAGAACTAAATATTTCGATATAGATTGTCACTTTGTTAGAGAAAAGATTATGGAAGGACTAATACTAACACACTACATAAACACTAAAGATCAGCCAGCAGACTTACTCACAAAAGGACTATGTAAACCTCAGCATGAAGCTTTTATTCACAAGCTTGGAATGAAAAATATATTTTCCTATTCTAAGCTTGAGGGGGAGTGATGAATAAATAAAAGTTAGTTAGTTAGTTGTAGAAGTTAGTTAGAATTCAATTAGGAAGAATCTTCTAGTTACAACTTCTTTACTTATATATATATGTACATATCTTGAATGTAAAGTCACACACGATGAATGAAAGTTTTTCTTTCTCTTCTCAAATCTCCATTAATGATGATTCTCATCATAAATTTATTTCCTCAACATAAATAAACAACATATCTAGGTGAATATTGACCATAACAAAATTATGTAATATATATATATATATATATATATATATATT